TACCTTCTGATACGTTTGTTTTCTTCAACCCAGCCAGTGAGCCACAATATCCTGAGGTAATTAGAGAAAATATAATCCCCAGTAAGTAGCCCCAGGAAGGGCCTACAGCCTCTTTTAGCCAGAAGTAGCTGTATGAAGACAGAGACCTGCACACCATCAGCATCCCATAAAGAATTATAAGGATTTATGTCTCTCAGGGGGAAATGAGGCAGAAGGTTAGGGCACGGCAAAGTGTCTGAGCAAATGAGTGTGACTTGTCAATCGTGGTATCCAGGACATGCGCAGAAAAACCGTTCCCAAAGCCCTGCACCGAGGACCAATCAGAGAAGGCTACCTCCAGTTCTCCTTCTGAGAACTCAAGCAGGCTTCTCATTGGACAGCCTAGACCTGACGTCAGCCTTAGGAGTGGGAGATACAAAAGACAGCGCCATTGAAGCCACTGTGTTCTCTCTTCGGTCAGCTCTAGCCCCGCACAGTGCACTTATTTTCCTACACTAATTGCCCGCCACTTCTCTGCAGAGCATGCTTTTCTCCCTACCTTTAATAAATGTAAAACCTCACTATCTTAAAAAGAGAGAGAAGGAAAGAGAGAGAAGAGAGGAAGAGAGAGGAAGGAGGAAGGAAGGAAGGAAGGAAGGAAGGAAGAAAGAGAAAGAAAGAAAGAAAGAAAAAGAAAGAAAGAAAGAAAGAAAGAAAGAAAGAAAGAAAGAAAGAAAGAAAGAAAGAAAGGCTCAGTTGAAGCTCAGGACTAGAATTAAGGCTGGAGTCAAGGACAGGACCAAGGTCAGGGCTAGGACCACGGACAGTGTCTGCGACTGGACGTTGGTTAGAAACAGTAGCCAGGGCAGAAGAGTCCAAGACCAGGCTGGGGCAGATCCTGGAAGAGCAGATGGTATAAGCATTTTGGAAAATGGTTTGGCAAGATCTACTGAATTTGGTAAAGCTGAACATCTGCAAACCTTATAACCCTGTGGCGCCTCTCTGGGGAATATAACCAAAAGCCACAGCGCTACCCACAGTCTCCCCACACTGGGAAAAACCCCGAAGGTCTGGCATCAGTGCAATGGATTAAATACACTGGTTTACTCACACAGTGGAAGCAGTAAAGCAGTGAGAGGGAGCTACAGTCCTATGCAATAATGTGGATGGGTCTTACTAACTTGAGGTTGGGCGAAAGAAACCAGATGCTTAAGAGAACACACCGGGTAATTCTATTGAAATGAGTTTGGGGCAGAGAGGGTGTCGGGCTCTAGTGTTCTGAGTCAGAAATGCAGTGCTTTGGGGGTCGGGGATTTAGCTCAGCG